ATACGTAGTTAAGTATATATTTTTTTTATATTATATTATAAACTTATACACTTTATTTTATACATATTATTTACTCAATAATCTTCAAAAAATTAAGTAATATCCTTTTTATAAACTATTAATCTTAGTGTTTTAAAGAAGAAGAACTATAAAAAATATAGTTCAAATTTCAATTACAATGTTTAAAAAATGTTAAATGTTCAGAAAAAACCATAATATGATTCACAATTTAAACATAAAAATGAAGTGAATATGCTTAATCAACTTTTGCATCTAAAACGATTTTTTTGTCGATTTACGCCATAATGAAACACCATAGGCAATATTATAATTTATATTATTATCATGATGATGCCTGTTAAGTTTAATGCAAGTTTGTTGTTATTAGTGATTATTAGTGCTTTGTGMACAGCGTTTCTTGTTAAATTATGCATCTTCAAGAACGTGGAAAGCGGAAGTTTTATATAACGTTTAAATTGATTTTGTTATAATTTTGCATCTTTTTTTATCAAATCAAACTACATGTCACCTATAAATAATTTATTGTGTTTTACCATCAAATAAATTTAATACTGAAGTTCAATATTAATATTTAATTTGGACATACATCCAAATATTAATATTTTATTTAATATTATGGTTTTTAATACAGTTAAACGTATATTAAGCGTATAGAATTTTATCGCGGTTTTTAAGATTCATAAACTACTCGATCAATTATGACTAAAATTCCAGAGATTATTCTTAAAGATACCTGAAAGACTTGTCTCAAAAACTACCTATCCTCTGAACATTAATTGATGACACTAAAACACATTTTATATTTTTGTTGATGACTTGTCATATACACATTATAAACTATTTAAATTGATCATTGTTTTCACGGTGGTATTAAGTACCTAACACATTTATTCAGCTAGTTTAGATTAAACAATAAATTCTTATACTTCTTAACATATTATAATATTACCATTAGAAATAATCAAAACTTGAAACGTATTATTTAGCAACGATTTCACATGAACTTAGTTTTTTTTATTATTATTATTATTATTATTACTTAATACATTAAAATAATATTACCAACACYAGATACTTACTTAACTTAAAGTGCTCGACGAAGATGCTAGAGGATTTCTTGTAGATAACTTCTCATTACAAACATTTCAACAAAATTTTAGTGTGACATGACTTCATGAATTTGAAAAACTCCTGTAAAAATGTAATTGCATAAATATATCATTTTCGTTATAAATGAGTCTGTACAATAAATTAGAATTTGTCATAAGCATACGCAGATTCTGTTGTTACATGATATAAACCATTGTTCATCTCTATACGTTTATTCAATTACATTTATTAAAGGAAAACTTTTTGTCTACACATATGTTATTTTCAGTATTTTTGCGTCTTTTAACTAGCGAAAACAATACAAACTTTTTTTCAAAACTATACACATCAAAGTAAATTATTTTAGTTTTAACCTGATCTTCCGCTACAAACTATGATATTTTTGAAAGTGATATATTATAGTTTAAAGTTGTATGTGTATCATAAATGTTCTCCGCTTTCATCATGGATACCCCACAGGACAATAGAACTTCTTCAAACAGAACAGTTTGATTATAACTAAAACACTTGTGTAGTTAATATTTATCATCACATAATATGCAAAATATACTTAATCAGTGATAAAAATCAAAATTCATAAGTATAATTAATCAAATATTTAATATATATATATATATATACGTTGTGCTGTAATAAATTATATTATGTGTTTATAGGACYTTTTAAATTATTATACACAACAAAATTTAAGCGAATCATTTGAAAAGTTTATGTAATAAYTTATAAATTTATTGTCCAATTAATTTCGAAATAACAAGTTACACTATCAGAAAACGAAATCTTCAATGAATTGATAAAGAACGGAAGTATAAAAGTTCAATTTACAGTGACCTACTGAGCTCGAGCTCAGCGTCTAAAATTTGCAATAKATATTTTATAAGACCTCATCGTAATCATAGAAAATATATATTTAAAACGAATATTTTAACATTATTGATTATTCAGTTTAAATTTTGAACTTTTAACATTAAAATCACAACATATTATAATAATAATATTTCGTCTGTGTCTTTTCATCGACAATATTTCGAACAATTCGTATCAAATATTTTACTGCATCCAGATAAAATGTGTAAAATATACGAATATAGTCAATGTTTAGGACAGTCCTATTGAATTCTTTTTAATACAGGAAATCTATTTTATTTTTTACGAGACGTGTGCTTATATTTTAATGTAGATCCACTAGATCCAACTTTGTTCGTGTCTATCGAAATACGCTCAACAATAGAACGAATAGTGTAACTCATTTTTTTTTCTTAAATTGGCAAGAGAAGTCTGTTTTTATATTCTACTTAAGAGCTACAAGAAAGTACAAAGATATTTTTGGCAGTTTTAGTAGGTAGTACTTTCTGGTTAGGTAACATATCTTTTATACCGCTGGAACGCACATGTACTTCACAGAACATAAACTAGAAAAATATTTTCATCGACGTGATAATAATGGACAGATAAGATAAACTTAAAACTATAATATAGATAGCTAGATATTTATTAAAGTATTCCACGGTTATACTATATTTACGATAAACATTTTCAAAATCAAAATTAAATTTCCATAAAAGTGTCCGTTATTTAGAGTATCCGGTATTAAGGGGTTTTCCCGTATAAAAGTAGTGAAAATGTTCCCATTCCTGGCAAAATGTCCGCTATTTGGAGGTGTTCGCTATTTAGAGATAACCGTCAAGGGAGGTTTCACTGTATATGAAATTCGCTTGTTAACGATAAAGCGAGGCATACCGTTGGAAAGCCACCTACACAGCGATGTACCGAAATTGTTTTACGCCGCGCCGTCCAACGGATATCAAAAATATAATAATGTTTTAAATAAAAAAATCAAAACATAATATAAATAATGAATGTCACCAATCTAAACGACAATGTTATTTTTTCTTTGACTGAGTTGAGACGTGTCGCGTATATTGTCAGATGTAGTGTGTTTTATGAATTATTTCAATMAATTTGTTAATTATTTGTAATATATAGTTTTACTCAATCACATTTCATGTTGAAAGTAATATACGTAATAAACATAATAATGATTGTTTTTTAAATTGCTTTTTATAAACCTGACTATAAATTATTACAAATATGTAAATAAACTAACGACGGGTTTGATTTATTTACCTCATAAGCAATTCAAGATAATTTCTAAAATAATATTTTATTCATAAAACTTAAGACTCTTAATTTTCGAGGACTAATATATATAAATTATAATTTCAAAAATATTATTACAAAATAAATCAGTTAAAAATAATAAATCTATAAAATATGTGAAATTGCACGTTATTATTGTTATAGATTTTATATTAACAATTATAGTGAGTAGTGACACACTGTAATATTATCATATTTCTTAGWAGTAAATAAATGTTTTATGAAGAATAAAATAAATTGATTTTAATAATACGCATAATGTATGATGTATTCCATAAACATGTTTTTAGTAAATTCATTTAAACGTAAACATTGTTATACTGTACCGAAAATTAATGCCTAATACCAATTATAATGTTATTTAAGTTACTACATTTTTACTAAAATATGTACCAACTTATTCTATTAAAATATATCGTATGATGAAATTCACAAAATATGTACTATTTACCAATAAATCAAACTAGTTACATTCATTAATTTTTTGAAGAAATAGAAATTCAAACTGTGTACAGTATTATTTGCTGTAAGCTTATAAATCTATGCAAATTCKTGGAGACTATAATGACAGCACATTCCCCTAATAAAGCCAAAATTCGAATGATTTTGCATAATATTTAATACCTATTTATTTGATTTGTATATAGGGAATAACTGAATATTTAATGTTGTTGTACAATTTGTAGCGTTGTACACAAACCACATCAACTTAACATCTAATTATATACATTAACTGTATAAAATTGAATGCTATTGCGTTTCAGTTATTGATTGTAGATATTTATCATGGGAATTGATGTTGATAAAAACAAATTTGACAGTTCATTTTCACTTCATGTTAAACAATATTCTACACAATAGGTATTTATTCTAAACCAAACTATCAAGGTTTGATCCAAAAATTACTTGTTTTTGTCAGAGATAATCAATTATACAAATTAATACATAAATAGGTACKTAATGTAATAACATGTGTTAAAACTATAACGGTTAAATACTTAAGTGTATTGATACCAAAAAATTAACCACTATGACTACGTGAATCTTCTGTGCTAAAAGAATTTMTTTTTTGTCGATACTATTAAAATGAATGTTAATGGCATTTTATCTCTATTTTAWAGTGGACTTGATAATGYCATCATTTTTTCTTAGTGGTTTTGTAATAAACTTTGCTAGTTTTGGTAGGTACAAATTGCAACATAAATTAATGATATTTGAAATAATTTTCGAGTAAAAAAATTTTTTTATAGAGTTGGGGTGACAAGCGAGTGACCCAAACGTTAATCTGGCACCCTGTGAAAAAAAAACCATTTCGCGGAAAAGTAATGCATACATTATACAAAGTTTTTTTTTTTTGTAAATTACAACATAATAATAAGATATAAACATATTGGGTTATTCATAAATGATTTTTTTTTTCATTTTTCACATTTAGACCATGATGAACCGTGATAATTTGTCTAGAATGTTTTGAAAACAAGCCGGTAGTATATAGTGTATAACAAATATRTTCATCGTAAAAAATTGACAGACAAAAATTAGTTACAACCAAATGCAGCTGATTAAGCATTRGGATGTAATTATAAATATTGAAATTAAAAACAAGACGTTGTTTTCATATTYATTAGATTGTGCATTCCGTTTTTATTACCCACCAGCCATGACAACAATAAATTCTTTTTAGTGTTGATTGTAGTTTTTCAATCATGTTTGTTTTGAAAATTAAAACTTAATTTTTGCATTTTAATTCATTCAATGAATTCTATTATAAATGATTATTTTATTTTACCTAATTGTTTTCAAAATTTTTAAAACAAAATTATTTTTGTGTCTGCATCGAGTTCAATATGTTAACTGTACTAACTAACACTTGATGAATTATTGAAATAATTATTTCAAAATYGTATTAATTATTTATCTTGTGAATTTTACTGAACTTTACTGTTGTACCATTTTTTAAGATGAGATATACTCAATATTAGAGACTATTGTAATTTGTTATTAAAAATCTATATTCTATAGACATTGATTGGAATCAATATCAGTAACTAACAATTTTTTACTAAATCTAAAAGAAAACTTATTTAATCGAAATATAAAACTTTTACAGAAATATGTTTTGTATAACCGAAATTTTCACTCCAATTCTTCTCGAGCAAAATGAACGGTTTGACTGAAAACGATGATACCATTTAATTTCCATTAAATAGAACACAAGAAACCTTGTAAAACAAAAGTTTTATTAAAATTTAGACATGTTATAATGAATAAGATTTTCTTTAAAAAAAAAATCATCAGCCAATAACTTATAGCAGGATATAATGCGAATTTATTTTGAGTATGTTTATTATTTATTCACAGTCATATTCATATTATTTAACAATAATATAACGTTTGATCGTTTAATGAATATTCTTTCAATATCATATTTTTTTACTTTAAAATGTGTGTTAATGCATCATTGATTTTACATTTGAGGTATTTATATTTGAATACAAATTTGTGCACATATAAGTAGGTACTTAAAACGTATAATATTGTAACGCTGTGTTTCAGAAATATATTTATCTGGTAATCGATAAATAAAATATTTGAATTTGAAACTGTAGATTAGCGTTACAATTCAATAATTTAATTATAATTAACAAAAATACCAAACATAATAAACTTGGAACGTTTTAAAATAATTTATTTGATATTTTTTATTTATATTTTTCATTCTCAAAAAACTCAATAAATATTTAATTATTTTCTAATCTAGTTATTTTTATTTTTATATTTTAATACAGTTTAATTATTATTTTAAAATATTCTTTTTTGCTCATAACTTATTTGAAAATTCAAAATTCAAAAAATTATAATTGGTGCTCTAGATGATATCCTTACCTTTAAAGTTATAAAACGTCAATTAATTTCAATAC